TGGGCAGTAAGAAAAACATTTGCAACATTTTCAAGGCTGGCAGATAACACCAGTTACAGAAATGGAGGCTGTTTCTCAGTCCTCCGACCCTGCTGTGGTCGGGCCGGTGGGTCAGCATCTCACCTGACTACTGACTTTAACTTTGGGTTATTTTATTAACCCTCCCCACTTTCCTAACAGAGGACAGGCAAGGGAAAGAGATGGTCTCCTCTCTCACTAAAAAATACAAAAATATAGGAATGGTGGCAGAAGCCCATAATCCCAGCTATTCTGGAGACTGAGGTAGGAGTCTTTTGAAATCAGAAGTTGCAGTGAGCCAAGATACACTCCAGCCTGGGTGACAAAGCAAGACTTTGTATCCAAAAAAAAAAAAAAAATGAAAAAAGAAAAAAAAAGAAAAGGAACAGCTAGCAATGCTAAAAAGGTTGCCTGTAGGAAGTAAAAATGGAGTTAGGAAAGAAAGAGCAAAACAGGGACTGGTTTTTCTTACAGTCATTAGACTGTTGGACTTTTAAAATTAGATATGCTTTCTTTCTTTTTTTTTTTTTTTTGAGACGGAGTTTCGCTGTTGTTACCCAGGCTGGAGTGCAATGGCGCGATCTCGGCTCACCGCAACCTCCGCCTCCTGGGTTCAGGCAATTCTCCTGCCTCAGCCTCCTGAGAACCTGGGATTACAGGCACGCGCCACTATGCCCAGCTAATTTTTTTATTTTTAGTAGAGATGGGGTTTCACCATGTTGACCAGGATGGTCTCGATCTTTCGACCTCGTGATCCACCCGCCTCGGCCTCCCAAAGTGCTGGGATTACAGGCTTGAGCCACTGCGCCCGGCTAGATATACTTTCTACTGTGATGAAAAATGAAACAGCAGATAAAAGTACAGGAAAAATTGACACCCACGTGGGAAAGGACATTAACAGGCAATTCACAAAATACAAAGGACCAACTGACATAAAAATTTATTTTCCTAAAAAATCAGATAAGTGAAAACATGCACAGCAATCAAATATGTTTTTCCACTGAATTATTAAAAAGTCTGACTTCTCTGCTTATTGTTTTTCCTGTTCAGTAGATTGGAAATGTCATAACACTTGCCTTGATTAATTTATTTCAAGAATGCAATGAGATAATGCACAAGAACTCTAAACTCTTGTACGAATAAAAAGCAATGGAAAACAAGAAAGCTGCCTCAGGAGACAGTCCTCAAATCTGGCTAAAAAGGTAGTGCCAGCTTTCACATTTGACAAGATAATTCCAATTATAAAAGTATCCCTCCACTCCACCAGGAGACTTGACAAGACTACTAAGTGGAAGGAAATTTTCATGTTTTCTGACTTGGCCTTGTGCAAAATGTTTGCTCTTCATTAATCTATCTAATTACACTAGTGGAAAGAGCATAGGGAAAAATGAGCATGTAACATACACATTAGATTGTTCTTATCAGGTGTTTCAAAGGTGCTTGGTCATGTTTAGGGGGACTATACATCCCGGTTTGTCTGACACAGTCCTAGTTTATGGCTGTATTCTAAGAGTGATTAGCAATTGCACCTACTTTTATTCCCAAAGTGTTCTCATTTGGATGATAAATTATATGGCTACCCTAAGTCCACAGGTATTAATTTATGCTAATTAAAAGACAAAATGCTTTAGGTACCATGTGGGAAGGGGTAAATTTGTCATATTGAACCTATTTTAAGACATTGGATTATATTCTCTCTCTCTTTTTTTTTTTTTTTTTTTTGAGACGGAGTTTCGCTCTTGTTACCCAGGCTGGAGTGCAATGGTGCGATTTTGGCTCACCGCAACCTCCGCCTCCTGGGTTCAGGCAATTCTCCTGCCTCAGCCTCTCAGAGTAGCTGGGATTACAGGCATGTGCCACCATGCCCAGCTAATTTTTTGTATTTTTAGTAGAGACGGGGTTTCACTATGTTGACCAGGATGGTCTCGATCTCTTGACCTCGTGACCCACCCGCCTCGGCCTCCCAAAGTGCTGGGATTACAGGCTTGAGCCACCACGCCCGGCTGGATTATATTCTTGATGACACAATATAATATGTGCTTGGCAAATGCAATTAGAATGAGGTTTGTTTTGTTTTCTCTCTCTCAAAAGAGAACTGGAATCTGCTTAAGCAGTTGGACAAATTCTTTGTTGTCATCACACGTGCTTCAACAGCTTATGATGGGGTTTGTTCCAATCAATCCACCAGAAGTTGAACTATGGTAAGCCAAAACTGCAATTAAGAGAATTTTTTTAAAAAGTTAAAAACAAACAAACAAAACTGCCCCGCATTTGATACCCTGATACACCCATCATAAAGTGAAAAAATCATAAGTCAAACTAAGTTGGTGACTATTTATATTCTGTAGCAATTGACAGGGAATAGATAGATTTATCCTGGAAACACGAAAACCAAATGATGCAAAGAAACCTTGTCTATTAACAACAAAGGCCAGTACAGCTCCTGTGAAACTTTTGTTTTTCCAACTTTTATTTTAAGTTCGGGGGTACATGTGCAGGATGTGCAGGTATGTTATATAGGCCAACGTGTGCGATGGTGGTTTGCTGCACACATTGTCCCCTTACCTAGGTATTAAGCCCAGTGTTCATTAGCTATTCTTCTTGATGTTCTCCCTCCTCCCACTTCCAACCCTCCGACAGACCCCGGTGTGTCCAGTTTCCCCAATGTGTCCATGTGTTCTCATCATTAAGCTCCCACTTATAAGTGAGAACACACCGCATTTGGTTCTCTGGAACTTGTTATTTTTAACAGAACTTTGTAATGGCACTACCTGATGTTAGAAATAAGGCTTGGAGTCACAAGGAAAAACGAGTACTCAGACAAAGGATTTCTCAGTAAAGCACATTCACTTCTGCACAGAAGGGTGCCTCCCGTATGGCTGGTTGCCGCGAGAGCACCTCGAACAAAGGAGGGTAGAAGCTTTTACTCCTAAAGCGATTCTTGTCTCTGTGTCCTTTTCCCATTGGCTGGAGTCGGACCATGCAGTCTAAACTAGACCTGACTGGCTAAACATGTAAACGTTCTTCGATAAGGTGGGCGTGTGATGGGAGGGAGTGGAGAGGAGGAAGGGGTCATCTGCCAAGAGCTAGACAGCTAGTCTTTTCCCAAATGAAGGAAGGAATGTGAGCTGGTGCTGATACCGCCACCAGTGTTGTGGCATGCCTGGGCATGTGGTGAAGTCAGAAAGAAGAAAAGGAGAAGAAAGGGGAGCAGGGAATTAGAGAATAAAAGGTTGAGCAGCCTGTTCGAATTAAAGTATAAAAGGTTGAGCAGGCTGTTTGAAGAGAAACCTTGCCATATCCCACACCTGATTTACTGCAGAGTGCATCTGTCTCTATAATTGATATTCTGAGTGGTGATCCCAAGGATCTACAACAGGCGTCTCCAAACTACGGCCCGCGGGCCACAAGCGGCCCCCTGAGGCCATTTATCCAGCCCGTCACCGCACTTCAGGAAGGGGCACCTCTTTCATTGGTGGTCAGTGAGAGGAGCACAGTATGTGGCGGCCCTCCAACAGTCTGAGGGACCGTGAACTGGCCCCCTGTGTAAAAAGTCTGGGGACGCCTGATCTACAACATTCGAAACTGTTTTCTACATCAGTAAGGGAATTTACAAATCATGATATCTACCTTCCTGATCACCCAAAATGTCTTGGAAGGGCTGAAGAAAAAAAAGTTACACACTAATAACCTATCAGTGCACTGGAAATTGAGAAAGAGTGCCATCAGTTTGCTAGAAACTAAGAAATTCCTGAAAGAGGGAAAGCAAACAGGCTCACATTTATAATGGGTCTAGAGGGAACTTTATCCAAAACAGATGGGCAGAGACCTTCTGTGAAAGTGGGGAGCATGTCCCAGGGGAATAAAAGGTGTGAGAAGAGGTCTCAGGGGCAATCACTGCGGTGATGGATTCCTTAGGGAACTGCACTTAAGAGTAGGTTAGCCAGTTGCTGTTTTGGTTGAGCAACTGACAATGATGGCCTTGCTCTCAACATAAAGCCCACATTGTGAGTTCTAGAGATGGAGAGGCAGGGAAATGCCTCAGTAGCTAATGAACCTCTTAAGTATAATCTATCAAAATGTTACAGTAGTAGCTAGTCAGACATGAGCAGGGCAGGAGAAGCCCCCCACCACCAGGAATGTCAGAAGGACCATCATGTGATGGTCAGGGGTTGTTACACTGTTTCTCTAAAATAATAATTGCTTGCCACCAGCGCCAGGGAAAGGATGCCTCCCAATAGATAGAAAATATCTGAAACTGGTGATGAGCAGTTCCTGATAAGATCTCAGGAGTTGGGCGAGTGGGCTCACACATGCACGCTAAAAGGCAAAATGGTGACGTTTAACTGGTGCATGACCTTCCTCTAGGAACACTTGACTGGTGAAGGAAGAACACCCCAAGTGAGCATGCGCACAACTTCAGTGACCACACTGTGCATGTGGCCCCTCAAGGGCTAGGAGACCACCGTACATGTGGACAGCCCACCCCAAGGAAAGGACCGGGGAGAAGTAATGCAACCCTCGAAGTATGCCAATGTAGAAGACCCTAAGTCAAAGGTCAGACTGCACGCTGGATCCTTCAAGTCGCCCACCAGGCCCTTTTCCAAGTGTACTTTAATTCCTTTCATTCCTGCTCTAAAGCAGGAATTTTTTTTTTTTTTTCCAAACATTGACAGACTTTATTGTGGGGGGATTCCCACTTGGGACCCCACCTCTTAAATAAAAAAGTGCATAGAAAAGAAGGGATTTAGAAATCTTTGCACAGTATCTACATCCTGGGCCCCCCGGGCAGAAAGGGGGCGATTGCTGGGTGGGCTGGAGGGGTGGAGGCGGGGCCGTTGCCGCCTGCATGCCCACATCCACCCTGAACATGAGGGTGAGGGTGAGATGCTCTAGGAGGGGCTAGGGAGCCCCCAGGCTAGGGGCAAGATGGCAGCGACGGCAGCAGGAGGTGTGAGGGGTCATGGTGAGCGGCCACGGCCTCAGTTAAGGAACCGACGGCAGCGCTTGCCGCCATAGTTGCAGGGCAGTTTGTTGCTGGCATCCTCGATGGGAAACTTGTAGTCGTAGGTGAGCTCCTCACCACGCAGGATTCGACGCAGGGCAAAGATGACAATGTGTTTCTGGCCCTCCACGTGGATGACTCGAGAGAAGCAGTTGGGCTCACAGGAGTGGTTGATGAAGCGGGCGGCCTGGCCATGCATTGTGGCGTCCAGGACGTCAAAGTCATCCATGCGGAACATGTAGCACCGGATGCCCTTCCCATCATAGAACTTCTCCCGCTTGTCAGTCAGCACCGAGCGGATGACGATGCCTGAGTAATCAATGATCATCTCTCCCGCGTCGATGTCGCCCTTACAGAACAGGGCTCGCCTGTGAATGGTTGATCTGTAGACACCCACAGACTCTTTGGACGTCTTCTTAAGGTGACGAAATTGCATGGCCATGGGCAGCTCCAGGCTGGTGGCACGTCTGGTTGACCTGAGCTGCACCTGAGCAGAAGGCAAGCTCTTGCCAGACGAAACCCCTCCAGGTAGGGTTGGGGAAACTTGACATTAACACCCGACAGTTTGAAAAGGGAGAGTCAATTCCCAGTGTCACTGCGCAGCTTGTGTTGTCTGCTACGCATTGACTTGGATCTCCAGGAGTCCCCTGCACATACCTACTCCATCGTGTCAGCTGTGTTTCTCTTGATTCTGTGACACAACTGGTTTATTAGTTCAAATTCAAATTTATAATCCTACCCAGAGTGGGGGGGGGAGGGTCAGGTGCCAGACCTGGCCTGAACTGCACCACAGAAATCCCCAGCAGGTTCTCCTGTGACACGGGGCCTGTGCAACCCAGAACCTCAGCCACTGTGCCCCACGGGGCGGGCTGTGCCAGCCGGAGTCAGGCCGCAGGAATCCCAGGCCGGCCTGTCCTTGAGGGGCAGTGGCCGATGGCTACCAGTTCCTGCTGATGCACAGGTGGGATGGGACCCTTCGTTAATATCTGACTTTAATAAGTTGGCAAGGATATATTTTTTTGTCTACATTCTGTTTCAACTTATGTAGATTATAAATTGATGTAAACCATGTGAAAGGAAAATGTTAACAAGAAAATGCAAAGCCCCAACATTTGCACACACACACAAAAAAAAAATAAAATAAATTATTTTATGTTTTTTTTGAGATGGAGTTTCACTCTTGTTGCTTAGGCTGGAATGCAGTGGCACGATCTCGGCTCACTGCAACCTCCACCTCCCAGGTTCAAGCGATTCTTGCTCTCAGCCTCTCAAGTAGCTAGGACTACAGGCATGCGTCACCACACCTGGCTAATTTTTGTATTTTTAGTAGAGATGAGGTTTCACCATGCTGGACAGGATGGTCTTGAACTCCTGACCTCAGATGATCCACCCGTCTTGGCATCCCAAAGTGCTGGGATTACAGGTGCAAGCCACCGCACCTGGCCTGTTCTAAAGCTTTTAAATAAACTTTCACTCCTGCCCTAAAACTTGCCTCGATCTCTCACTTTGCCTTATGCCCCTCAGCCAAATTCTTTCTTCTGAGGAGGCAAGAATTAAGGTTGCTGCAGACCCGAAAGGTTTTGCCATCACTAAGAAATGCTTTTTGGCCAGGTGCAGTGTCTCACACCTGTAATATCAGCACTTTGGGAGGCCAAAGCGGGTGGATCATGAAGTCAGAAGTTTGAGACCAGCCTGGCCAACATGGTGAAACCCCATCTCTATTAAAAACACAAATATTGCCGGGCGTGGTGGCTCACACCTATAATCCCAGCACTTTGGGAGGCCGAGGTGGGTGGATCACGAGGTCAAGGGATCGAGACCATCCTGGTCAACGTAGTGAAACCCCGTCTCTACTAAAAACACAAAAAAATAGCTGGGCATGGTGGTACGTGCCTGTAATCCCAGCTACTCAGGAGGCTGAGGCAGGAGAATTGCCTGAACCCAGGAGGCGGAAGTTGCGGTGAGCCGAGATCGTGCCATTGCACTCCAGCCTGGGTAACAAGAGCCAAACTCTGTCTCAAAAAAAAAAAAAAAAAAAAAAAACCAAACAAAAAAAACCACACAAATATTAGCTGGGCAGGGTATCATGCGCCTGTATTCCCAGCTACTTGGGAAGCTGAGGCAGAAGAATCGCTTGAACTAGGGAGGTGGAGGTTGCAGTGAGCTGAGATCATGCTACTGCACTGCAGCCTGGGTGACAGCAAGACTTTAAAAAAAAAATGCTTTTCAAATAACGTTAGAATAATATTGTTTTCTCCCCCAGGGTCATTGTTAGCAAGCTGCATCTACGAACAAACTGCATCCAGGCAAATTATTCCAAAAATATGGGATTAGTGAGGAGGGAGAGATGACTAGGTGGAGCACAGACGAGTTTAGGGCAGTGATAATAATCTGAATGATGCTGTAATGGTGGATACATGTCGTTATGTATTTGTCCAAATGCATTTTAAAAGTGAATCCTAAGGTAAGCAATGGACTGTAGGTGATGATGATATGCCAATGTAGGTTCACCAAGTTTAACAAATGTACCACTCCTGTGGGGGTTGGTGATCATGGGGGAGGCTGTAGGTGTGTCAGGAAAGGGGGTATATGGGAAATTCCTCTACCTTCCTCTCCGTTTTGCTGTGAAGCTAAAACTGCTCTAAAAAAATAGTCTTGGCTGGGCACGGTGGCTCACAACTGCGATCCCAGCACTTTGGGAGGCCGAGGTGGGCGGATCACGAGGTCAGGAGATCGAGACCATCCCAGCTAACACAGTGAAAACCCATCTCTACTAAAAATACAAAAAATATTAGCTGGGCATGGTGGCATGCACCTGTTGTAGTCCCAGCTACTCAGGAGGCTTAGGCAGAAGAATTGCTTGAACTCAGGAGGCAGATGTTGCGGTGAGCCAACCGGACTGCAGTGGTGTGACTCTGTCTCCAGAAAAGAAACAGTCTTTAAAGAAACCACAGACAGAACAGAGAATCATCATATATTTGAGGAAACACAACATGTAAGAAGAAATAAATGCAATGAAAAGAATGAACACCTAAGGAAACAGTTAATAGACTGTAAACAAAAATGTATCTGAAACAGGTTTTAATAAATTTAGTTTATCTTGCCAAGATGAAGGATATTCCTGGAAAGAGCTCTGTGTTTTCTCCAAGGATGATTTTGAGGGCTTCTGTATTTAAAGGGGAAAAGTAGGCTGAAGGGGAACGAAGGAGGGCGTGGTCACATTACTGAATTACTACGTGTTTCGAGAGAAAAGAAGCAGGTGGGGGAACAGTCAATTATGTATTTGTCTCGCACTCAGTAAATTGGCACTTTTACACAAGATAAGGTGAACACAGAGTAGCTACCTGTGGAAATATTTCACCTTTTATCTGTAGCTATCTGCATAGGAGCAAAAGGAAAGGTAGCTTCTTCCATGACCCAGCTTTCAACTTAATTTTTTTCTTTTGGCAGAGTGAATTGGGGTCCCAAATTTTTATTTTCCTTTCATAAAAGCAATCAAGAAAAGACTTAAAGGCAAGTGTAATAATGTTCAAAGAACTTCAGCCAAATTAAATTTACCGGTTTAACTGAGCAAAGAACGATATATGAATTGTGCAGTCTCCTGAGAAAGAGTAGGTTCTGAGACTCCCGTGCAGCCACGTGGTGGAAGAAGATTTAGGGACAGAAAAAGGAAAGTGGCATATAGAAAATGGAAATGAGGTACAGAAACAGGCACATTGGTTATAGCTCGGCTTTTGCCTTATTTGAACATGGTTTAAACAGTTGGCCATCTTTGATTGGCCAGCACTCAGTGATCGGTGCAAGAGAAGGTTACAGTTTGTTTACACTTCCTTTTAGGTCGTAGTTCGTGATGTACAGAGAAACCTTTAGGCTTAACTTAAAATATGTAAGAGGACAGCTTTAGGAAACTTGACTTAACAATTCCCCCTTTTTGGTCACCCTCTCAAAATGTGGTCAAAATGGAGAAGATGACCAAAACTTTAGTCATCGATGGCACCATCACCGTCGTAAACGTACTTATTTGCTCTTGAAACCCACCCGGAAATAGTTTAACAGTGGATTTTGCAAAATGGGAAAGATGACTTCAGGTCACTTTTTTTTTTTTTTTTTTTTTTTGTAAGGGTTAGAGTCGAGGGTACCTCCCTGTGCTGCAATGCCTTGTTTACAGAGGGGAAAAAATCTGGTCTATTCTAGGATTTATGTGTTTCCTTAAGGTCCTAGTTTGATTATGTTGCATTTAGCACAGTCGACCCTATTTTCGTTTGGTCAGGGTGCTGGGGCCTAGTGCATGAGCTTAGTCCAAAACAATGGCCTCCCATAACTTTGTTTAAAAATTCCCCTTTTTGGGTCAGGTTCTCACTTAGGTGAGAATGACCAAAACTTAGAGCCTCAGTGCCTCTCAGTTACCCTCATTTTGGATTTCTGGCTTCAGCACATCATTCATAGGATAGGGTTCCCGCAGGGTCACACATTTCTTTCAGCTCTTGTTACTCCAACTGGAGAGAGACTATCTGACATTCTAGAGATGGCCCTATGCAAACATTTACAACTTTTGAGGGAATTCAGCACACCAGGAAGACTACTATTATGGCTATCCAGAGGATAATACCAAGAGTTTGGCATATGCTCCTTGACTAAGATCCCCATAAACCAAACCACCTAAAATCAAACAGATCAAAGAATGAACTAGATAGTCTTCTCACTTTAACTAAGCAGTCTCTTCGCTAATCCCCTGCAACTGAATCACTATACTACCTGATGTGATGTATTTCTTCATGGGCAACAAGAAATGCCAGCCGTTTTATAGATAACTGCTTTGTTTAGTCCGTAAGTAATCTAGGGCAATTCTATTATCTAGCATAACTTTCACAAGAGAATTTCAAGTCTGTTGTGTAACCATAGCCTTTATAGTAGAATCTGCTAAAGAGCCTGTCATGAGGGATCAATTTCTAATTAACTCCAAACCATGAACATTTACTCTAAACCATAAAAAAGGGCCTAATATGATGCCTTCTAGAAGTGTTTACATCATTTGGCAATGTTCTCATTATTATTATTATTTTTAATTTATGTGTTATTTTTGAGACAGAGTCTCACTGTGCCACCCAGCCTGGAGTGCAATAGTATGATCTCGGCTCACTGCAACCTCTGCCTCCCGTGTTCAAGCTATTCTCCTGCCTCAGTCTGCTGAGAAGCTGGTTTTACAGGTGCCTGCCACCACACCCAGCTAATTTTTTTCCTATTATTTTTAATTGCATTTAGTCACATCATTTATATGGGCATATGCTTATAAAAGATGGTTAAGACTGGTTAGTAATTTATTTTGGGGGTTTGTTTTAAAGTGAGAAAAGGGGAAGTGGTTATGACCTCACAAATAATATTTCAGGATGATATATGTTGATTATAAACTCGAAAGGTACACTGATACCAATCCTATAAACAGGAACTATAAATGTAACTGATTTAAGCCTATTGGTTCATTTTTTTAAAGCACTCTTGTTTCTTTAAAGTTAAGTACTATAAATGATTCTTGAAAATCTACTGTGGACATGATATATTCAGGCAAGCTTGCTAGGGGTTGGGGAATGATTTCATGACCATCTCTAAATCAGAGTCTGATTGAGAGTTAAACAGCATTGCAAAAAAGTTACAGCCACGGTACATAATCAATTCCTTGGACCATACAGCTTCCACAGCTCTTATCATCCTGGTTACCCTTCTTTCTGCTTTCACTTACACATTTCTTTCTTTTAAACCAACAAAAAATATCAACGTTCACCAAAATTCTGAAAGTCACAGTTCATCTAGCACTGAATGATAGTAGCTTTGGCGTTTGATATTACAAAGTTACTTTTTCACCACAAGTATTTTCTTCATTCTGGGTCAAGACTAGGTAAAACAGGAAGACTAAGGTTCCCAAATGCAGAGTCTTGAGTTACGAAGTATCCAGATGAATGTGCATGAGCCTGCTAAGCTCCTGTTGGGCTGCAAGATGCTGCTGCTCAGTGTGACCCCGGAAGTCCTTATTTAGAGAGGCCCCGGAAGTCCTCAATTAGAGAGGGTCTCAAGAGTGCAATGCTAGCCCCAGGATGATTTGTTGAAGACTGGTTCTGCATAAGTAGTTTTCGTTTTTCTTTGTCCAGTTGTGCCAACACTGCAACTCTATTTTTGTTTTTGAAAAACTTGTCCCATGGCCGGGAGTGGTGGCTCACGCCTGTAATCCCAGCACTTTGGGAGGCAAAGGTGGACAGATCACCTGAGGTCAGGAGTTCGAGACCATCCTTGCGAACATGGTGAAACCTTGTCTCTACTAAAAATAAAAAAAATTAGCCGGGTGTGGTGGCATGCACCTGTAGCCCCAGCTACTTGGAAGGCTGAGGCAGTAGAATCGCTTGAACCCGGGAGGTGGAGGTTGCAGTGAGCCGAGGTCATGCCACCGCACTCCAGCCTGAGAGACAGAATAAGACTCCTTCTCCCTCCCTGCAAAAAAAGAAAAAGTTGTAGGCCGGGCGCGGTGGCTCAAGCCTGTAATCCCAGCACTTTGGGAGGCCGAGGCGGGTGGATCACGAGGTCAAGAGATCGAGACCATCCTGGTCAACATGGTGAAACCCCGTCTCTACTAAAAATACAAAAAATTAGCTGGGCATGGTGGCTCGTGCCTGTAATCCCAGCTACTCAGGAGGCTGAGGCAGGAGAATTGCCTGAACCCAGGAGGCGGAGGTTGCGGTGAGCCGAGATCGTGCCATTGCACTCCAGCCTGGGTAACAAGAGCAAAACTCTGTCTCAAAAAAGAAAAAAAGAAAAACTTGTGCTGAAGAGTTTGCTACCATTTTCCTATTTTGTTTCAATTACGTTCAGTGGCAATTGGTCAGCACTTCACAATCACCTGGGACGCAAGGATTCTGGGCTAATTTTTATATTTTTAGTAGAGATGGAGTTTTACCATGTTGGCCAGGCTGGCCTCGAATTCCTGACCGCAGGTGATCCGCCCGCCCCGGCCTCCCACAGTGCTGGGATTACAGGAATGAGCCACTGTGTCTGGCCTACAATGTTCTATTAAACTCATGATGTAGGTTAAGAGGAGTGGACCTATGTTCTTTTTCTGACTGATTATGAGGCAACAAATGTACCATTCAAATTTCTTACCTGCATTGGCCTCCATCTTCCATCTATCAAGGCATAAGGTTATCCATGCATAAGGCTGGCTACAGAATCCCTCACAAATTAAAGTATATCCATGAGTGCACACAGCACACTCCCTTTTCACTTCTATTGTTCAGACATAAGCAAGGGAAAAAAGCTGAAACATCATGAAAGATGGTAAGTGTCATGACAGTAGAGGTCTTATCCATGATCTTGGGAAAAAGCTGTCCACATCAAAGACGCTGCCTTCTGAGGAGAAACGTCCCTGATTAGCTTTACCTTAAGGTTTCCAATGGGTACACAGTTCTACAAGTATGGAGGAACCCTTCCGAGTTGGGAGATTGTCCAAAGTCCCAAAGTTTTGCTGCAGTGTGGATGACAAGGTGAGTCTCTGATGTTCTCAGAAGATTCCGTCTTTAGGTTCTAGCTTAGGAAGGGGTTGATTGTCCTCAGTCAGTGGACCATGAAATGCTTTCTTTACCTGGTGAAAATACACTGTGGCCCAATAACCTACCGTTATAACATCAACCCTTTCGCATGGAAAAGCTTTTATACAACCATGCACTGAAAACATGCATTGAAAATGACAATTGAATAAAATCCCTCTGCAAATGGCCCATCAGGTAGCAGAATGTACCTGAAGTGTTGCTTGTCTTCACAAGAATATGGGTTTGACAAAACAAAAGTTGGTCATAATCTATTTTAGCAATTTAGAGGTCACCACACCAATATACACATTTAATGTGGATCATTTTATCTTTTCCATGACTCATCATGGAATGCAGAACTTTTTTTATTTTTTTTTCCTCCCCCTTCCGGAATGCAGAACTTTTAATAACAAAAGCTTTAAGGACTCAGGAAGGACAAGGTGGCCCTCCTGGTTCCTCCTGGTTCTCCAAGAGTTCGTGCTTAACACTGGATTTATGTCCTCTTGAATAGCAATTGTTCCTCCAATTTAGGTGCATAGCACTGATAACTGATGGATTATCATAAGAAATTTGACTTCAACCGTGGAGTTCATTCAAATTATATATCTAATTGGCTGATTTAGCATGAAAATCATACAAGGCATCTTCTTGGTACTCCATTAATTTTTGTTTTGCTTGAGTCAGCAGTTTTACAAACCACTCAGTCTTTTCATTAAGTTCCAGAAATTCTTATGATATGATATGATTCTAAAGTTATCGGAAACCTGTATTCAAGAGTGCTTCTCTGGGGTCCTTTTCATCTGTACAGGAATCTTCTTCGAGACACTGTATGCTAGGATTTTGGATGCTTATGAAGTTTTCAGAAACTGCATCAGAATTAAGCAATTAACTGTGGAAATTACTATTTATTTATTTATTTATTTACTGAGATGGAATTTTGCTCTTGTCGCCCAGGCTGGAGTGCAGTGGCATGAACTCGGCTCACTGCAACGTCCGCCTTCCAGGTTCAAGTGATTCTCCTGCTTCATTCTCCTGAGGAGCTGGGATTACAGGTGCTCGCCACCATCCCCAGCTAATTTTTGTATTCTTGGTAGAGACAGAATTTCACCACGTTGGCCAGGCTGGTCTTGAGCTCCTGACCTCAGGTAATTCACTCGCCTCGGCCTCCCAAAGTGCTATGTGAACCATCGCGCCCAGCCAGATATAACTTTAAATAGTCATAGTTAAAGACGCAGTTGACAAGAAAATTTGGTTATTTCTGTGGTCGATAACTTAATAACCATAATTATGATTGACAGCACGTACTCTACTTACTAGAATTTTAGAAGTCCTACACAGTTTTGGAACATATATTATTAACATTTATTAAAAGATAATCTGAAGAAGGTTAACTGTTATTTCTTTTCTATTTTATTTATTTATTTATTTATTTAAACATTATTTTTTATTTGGCAATGATTCCCTGTAACTTAACATGTCAAATAATCTTCTTTAGCTCTGTTTCCGACGCCTCAGGGCCCGTCTGCAGCATCCCAAAGTTAGAGGTCAAAAAATAACTTAATTTTGAAGCTGAAATTTGATTTTGGGAAGCCTGCCAAGTATGTCAGAGGTTTAAATACTTCACCAAAATCGGATCACAGGTCACTGTAAAATAATAGTCATTTAATCAGTGATAATTAAAAGATTTTTACAAACAAAAGCCTGCACTCTTTGATAAAGAAGACTTCGTTTTTCAATCAGAAGACCTAGGACAGCATGAAACAGAATCTGTCTCTTCATTTTTCCTTTTACCTTTTTTTTTCTTTTTGTAGTTTACTCAAAAGGTGAACAAAAATATTTTGTTGACTTAATGCTACAAAAAATTTTTGTTCAAAAGAGAAAACCAAATTTTACTTTTATATTACTATATTATCAGTACTAAAACTAATTGAAATAAAACCTCAAAATAAATTTATAAAATCTGTCATTTTTTAATTACAAGATTTCTATAAACCTTTTGTTTTACATTTTTTCCAACTTTCTATATTTTATCTAGTTTTTACTCCTTCAGTCTGAAATCTTTAAGTAACTTTAAACCACAAAAAAAATGTTTTCTTTTTCTTTTGTTTTCTTTACTTTTTTTTTTTTTTTAGATGGAGTCTTGCTCTGTTGCCCAGGTGGGAGTGCAGTGGCATAATCTCAGCTTATTGCATGCAACCTCTGCCTCCGGGGTTCAGGCAATTTTCCTGCCTCAGCCTCCCCAGTAGCTGGGATTACAGGTGCCCACCACCACGCCTGGCTAATTTTTGTATTTTTAGTAGAGATGGGGTTTCACCATATTGGTCAGGCTGATCCCAAACTCCCGACCTCAGGTAATCCACCTGCATCATCCTCTCAAACTGCTGGGATTCCAGGCATAAGCCACCATGCCCAGCCCCAGACAAAATTTTTAACACACATTTTTATGCCTTTATAACTTTCCTCTTCATATGCATATTTTGCTTTTGTGTATACACCATGTATACAGACTTGTTTATTTCATATGCAGTAATTTTTAACTCTTAGTAATTCTAACATCTAGTGAAAACACTAGAAAGGAATTTTGACCTGTTTTGTATTTGTATATAAAAACTATTTTATAATTTTTAAGAAAAATAGTTGTTCAAATTATTATTATTATTTTATTTTTTATTTGAGGTGGAGTCTCACTCTGTCACCCAGGATGGAGACCAGCCAGGCTAACATGGCGAAACCCCATCTCTACTATAAATACAAACATTAGCCTGGCATGGTGGCATGTACCTGTAACCCCAGTTACCCAGGAGGCTAAGGCAGGAGGGTCACTGGAACCAGGAGGTGGAGGCTGCAGTGAGCCGAGATTATGCCACTGCACTCCAGCCTGTGCAACAGAGACAGCGCATCTCAAAATAAAAGAAAGAAAGAGAGATAGAGAGAGAGAGAAAGAAAGAAGGAAGGGAAAAAAGAAAAAAGAAAGAGAGAAAGAAGAAGGAAGGAAGGAAGAAGGGAAGGAGGAAAAGAAGGAAGGAGGGAAGGAAGGAAGGAAAGTGAAACAAAGAAGATAGGACACAAAAATCCCTGAGAATTTCCAAAAGCCGAAGTCTACAACATGCTGCAGTTTTGCCACTTACTACCTAC